AGTCTTGTTTTCTCTCCACTTACAGAAAATGAGATTGAAATAAGAGCGAATCACTAAATAGAAAAGGTTAAGGTATGTATATGGTAACAAAAACACAACGGCTGTGGGTATGATATGCTCCTTTATACACAAGAAAACGTAGCTTCTGTTTCCTTTAGGACTAAATAGAAAATGGTGTTGTTTGCAGTGGTAAAGGGAAAAAAAAAAAAAAAAAAAGAAAATATCTGAATCAGGATGAGAGATTTAGATATCAGTGCTTTAATATTCCCCCTATTTTCATCAGGAATAGAGAGGAACTGAAGCCTGTGGCATTATATGGCTGACTGGTGCTTTCTGCCCATTCAAATGTTCTTCCCATGCGTACTGCACTGGCTTTTAAGAATTTATGTGGGGGAATTTGTCACTAGGTGGCAGAATTAGACTGTATTAGTACTACCATTTTTTATGATTTGTCTGCTTGGCTTCTTTATAGTCCATAAATGTCTCTATGACTATATCAAGCATTCAAAAATATTTCGATTTTAAAACAATTTCTAATAAACACGGCTCTTTCAGAGGAGCGATTCTGTGGAATAGCAGATATAGCCTGTTGGATGTATGTTTATGCAAGTGTGAGTAATGTTTCACTTTGAATTTGTGATTACTCTGCTCTTTGCTCCTGCGTTTTGAAAGTATGCTAGTGCTCAGATTTGCAGATGACCTCTAAATGGAGGCATGTTTGTTTGGTACTTTCTGAAGATGCATAACGTTCAACTATTGCTTTAACTACACTGCAGAGGTATTCATATGCACAAGTGTCTCTTCCTGTCTCTAAGTGCTGTTTTTCATGCAAAAATGTCTAATACATAGGAAAGTTGAGGTTACTTATTTGTACCACTATGACCTCTGGTTTAGTCGCTGCTGCTCTGGTGTAAGAATGGCTTCTGCCTTGTTAGCTGAACCCTTCTCTGAGGGACGTGAGCAGACATGAACGTGCCCTGCTCTGACTGGAGTGGTGGCAGTGGTACTTGCATGTTCTAGTTTTGATTTGTGACTTAGCTTCTATTGAGAAAAATCACTGTGTTGCCACATAGGTTTGACGGATGTGTCAGTATGGGAATGGTGCTGCAGAACTTGGGGCATGTGATTTGGAAGGAAAGTGGTCGTGCTTTGAAAACTTTGTAGAAATATTTCTGATGCCTTGCTATGTGCTGAAATGTTTGGGGTCTTTGATGTTTGTATGAGATGTTCTTTTCTGCTTTAGAGGATATCTACGTGTCATGTAGTAGGTGGTTGTGAAACAAGAATGTCCTACAGAGTTTGTTTTGAGGTCACTAAAGGAGCTCCTGTTATGTCTATCTTCCCTCCTAGTAAATACTACAGATTTTAATTTATAAGAACATCCTTAATTCAAGCATTAGGCAGATTTTAAAAAATAGGAAGGCTCAAAGAATTTAATGTTTTCCAAGCAGACATGATGGAAATCACGTAATTTAATACTCAGGTTAGCTTATATGGGCTATAATTATTATGTAGATTACAGCAGTTTCCAAAGGTCTCTCTAGCACAGTTTTAAAGGTGAAAAATATAACATTACTTGATTGTGTTTCTACTCCTCCCTTCCCTTCTATTTCTTCCTGATATTTGGGTATGTTGGAAGTTTGAGGGATGTGGGTGCAAAGGAAGCTCTGAACTTTTCATGCAGGCATTTTAGGTGTTTTGGAATAAGAATGTAATTATGATAGCAGAATTGTTTCTATCAGTGAAAGGTACAGACATGCATGCCCTTTTCTGGGGCTTTGTTAGAAAGCATTTCTATCACTTTTCAAGTGTCTAAGACACTGGTCAATGAAAACCTTGCCTCAAACACTTACTTACGAAGCATTAAAAATGCAGTTGAAGAGGTGCTCTGTGGGAAGGCACCAGCTACAGAAGCAGTGTTAAACAAATAGAAGCAAGAGAACTGCAACTGGCAGATGTTCAGCTATCAGGAGAATAACATTAAATTCATTAGTGATGAAAATAATAAATCGTTTTCTTTTCTAATTAACACTCTGAGGCTTGAGTGATGTCTGCTAGGAATCAGGCAACTCATTTTCAAGTTTTCCAGAAGTTCTAATTCAGAATATTGTCAAGAAACCAGAGCTTGCTTAAAAAATTCTTATGAAGTATTACAGCATAAGTTGTAGCCCTTGTCCAGATAATAACAGGCAACATCTAATCGCTGGCATCATCTAAGCAACGGATTTTGTTTACAAATTCTTGCTCATGGCTGGGCTGGAATAACTGTGGAGAAGCCACTATGCTACTAGGTAAATTGTTGCAGAGATTAATTACTCTAGTTAAAACATACACCTTATTTCTGGTGCATAGTTCATTAGCTTCTGTCTCCAACCTATGCATCTTATTGTGCCTTTGTTTTCTGCATTGAAGAGCTGAGACCTCATCATGAGTAGAGTCAGAGTGACGGAATCATTTGAGTTGGAAGGGAGCTTTGAAGGCCATCTGGTCCAACTCCCCTGCAATGAACAGGGCCATCTACAGCTCTTGTTTAGTCTCTGTTTAGATTCTTTCTAACTATATTTAAATTTCTTTGTGAAGCACAAAGCAAAAATCTCTTTAAGTAGTTTTACTGTAGGTTGGTTGCATCGCAGGTTGCATCCATGCAAATTGATAGCAATTCTCTGCTTGGTTTAACTTCCAGAAAGTCTTCATATAACATGTCATTTTCCACTAATATCTACCTACAGACTGCTTGTATGTGTGTGTGTTTTTGTATGTGTATATACATATATGTGTATATTCATGTAAATATTTAAGGACTAAATAGCACAGGAAGTATAAGTCAAGCCTGAAGTAATTTGTTGCTCCAACTGTTGGATTTTTTGTTTCTGACTGACATTCAAAATACTTCAACTCTGTTTTCTTAAATACTGCCCACATATTATACACAATCAAACAGTAAGTTTCTAGTTTGTATTCAGCTAGATAGAGGTTCAATAAATCAGAAAACAACTGCTCCGTTTGAAGGAAGTTTTCTCTCCCTCTTTGGTAAAGTACAAGAGAATTCTGTTTAAATGAAGCATGCAATTTTAATCAATTGTACCCTAAAAAAAAAATAAGACAAACAGCTGCTGCTTGTTAATTACTGAGTGTCTTCACCAATGGACTCATCATTTATTTGCTGCTTTCAGCGCAGCCTTAAATTCTGTAAATAAAGGTGCTACTGCCATGCGATGTGACTGCTTGTACATTTGCAACAAAGCAGCTCGGATAATACATGGAGAATTTATTTCAAAAGACAATTATGTGACCTTCACCCTCACAGATTCGTTGTTGTCATCTAATGATCACGTTTGCTGTGAAAGGTCAGATTTTATGAAGCCAAGAGAAAAGCGTATTTAATATCCCTAGCTGAAAGCTGAATTTCTTGATAATAATTATACCAGGCTGTGAAGATTTCCCACTCTGCTAAACTCTACTCTTCTCATGTAGAACCGTGGGCCTATTTGGATTGGAAAGGACCTCCAGGTCACCCAGCCCAGCCTTCTGCTCAGAGCACATCCAGGTGGAGCAGGTTGATCAAGGTTGTTCACTTGATCTCTGAAGCTCTCTGAGGATGGAGATGCCACAAATCACCCCCTCTGCCCACAAGAAGCCCAGGTTCTAACTGCTCTAGCTTCTGGCAAGCGTGGTGAACCTCTACAGGGCTCACTGCAGCACGTCAAGGTACTTGCAATTAATTTATTTTCTTAGCCCTGACGTCTTTAATCACTAGTTTTGTATCCATCCCTTACTTTGGGTTTTGAAATGAATTGGCTCTTACGAATCCACACTGATGGCTCTGGGAACTAGATGGCTCCCTGGGTGGCCTTTATAAGGAAATTTTTCAGAGATGTTTCAAGGAAAATATTAGACTTGAAAGCCATTTTTAAGCTCAGATATTTTAATATTAATAGGAAAATCACAATAGCAAGCAACAGTAGGAAGCAATCATTGCACCTTATTGTCCAGTTAGGCTATATCAGTGATTTGAGTCTGTAAAATGCAATTTGTTTGGTTCAACTTGTTCATCTACTAACTTGGTATGCTACTGCCTACCTTTCGTATTAGAAATCAAGAAGGAAGAGGGATATAAGTGTTCTGTACCTGTAATTTATCTGACCCTGTCTTCACCTTCAAATCTATTGTTTGTGTCCCATTCAATCAACACATGCCTTTTCCATCTTTAGCCTTTTCTCCTTTATTTTTTCTCTCCATAGCTCTTCATTTCATGGTATTTATTTCCTACAAGTTGTCTTTTACTTTCATTGACAGCTCCTCTTTTAGGCTGATATTGTCCTGCTGCCCCTTTCTGACCACTGGGTGCTGAGGGCTGCCCAGGAGCTCTCACTTGGCCTCCGATGGAGATGTCTGAACATGAAATAGAAGAGTTCAAGAGGTTTGGTGCTTAAAGTTTAAAAACAAACAAACAAAAAAAACAAACGAACCACAGTTTATCCTTGTGACATATTCTTAGGGGAAGTATAGCACAGTCAAACAAAGCTTCAATTCGACTGGGCAAAACTTTGTTCCTTCCTTTTCCTTTTTGTCTTTCTCCCTTTTCTCTTGCTCCCCATCACGAGTAATTTTAGCACTAATCATTACCTCCACTCTCTGTTGTGGCATTCTTATTTTTAGTTTGCCCTTGCCTCTAGGTTTCTCCTTCAGATTTCGGATTTGCAGCTGTTGTCTTTTTATTGTCTTTATTTGTCCTCTTCAAGCAAGGAGAGGCAGTTGTGGGCCTCTCCAGGTGACTCTGGGGCTGTACCAGTGTTGGGTATTTACCTGAAAGGTACCAGCTTTGGGTTGCCTAGCTGATAAATGCTGATAACTATAAAATGAGAAATACAATGTAAGATCTAGTTTAGTTCAATAAAGAGAAGTTACAATTAATTGTCAATTTCCAGGATGCAAGCACTTTATTTGATCATCTGTTGTCTTTTCAGAGCTGTTGAAGCCATTTCAAAGTCACTGTAGAAGATCACACTTGAAGTATTTTCTCATGTCTGTAGTACAAGCCCTTAGCAAAAATTTGAATGCTGTATGACGTGAAGGACTGCTGACTGATCACTGTGATATAGGACCTGTTGTTTAGGTAAGCAAGCTGGAAACCACAAAAAATTAGAATATTGTATTGTGGAACGGGAAGACTGACGTGCTACTGGAGGTAGGTTATTGCTGTGATACTGAAATGAATTTGCCCAACAGTATTTTTTGGAAAAAAAAAATATATTTGCTCTGTATTTTCCATAGGAGAACCAATGAATGGAGAACAGCTTCTTCAGCTGTTGGTGTGAATGATGAGTTGGCAACCTGCAACACTTTGCAGAAAGGACAGGAAATGCCCTTGTCTAATGTAGCAGGTAAGTGTTAAACAAAATAAATAGTGTTAATTTAGGTTACTTGCATTATAAGTAATATTACAACTTTAACATTTATATAATATCTCTATATGTTATTTACATTGTAATTGCCACAATAACGTTATAATACTATAAATAGCATGTTATTGTGCTCTTTCAAATTTCATTTATCAGTATATTCTGTGACTGTATATTTTCTCTTTAGCTGTTATCAGTTAATTTATCTGAAACATACTTTGTAACCGTTTTCTCTCGCCACTGACAGAAATTAACAGATGAGCATTTTAAATCTCTACACAATAGGTTTTCTCTGCAGGTATTTTTCTGTTAATTCCCTTTTTTTCTTTTTCTTTTTTTTTGAATGCACGTGAAGGTACACGGCCTGATAAAGCGTTTTACTCCTCTGGTGGCTGTTTCTCAGGAAGGACACAATAAGTGCTTCTGCTTTTTGTTGTCTTATCCAATGGGATTTAACTTCCACTGTTTTGCCCTTGTACTTAGATTAAAAATATAGATCAAGGTACAGTGGGAAAAATACTTACTCTATATACATCTAATATAGCTATTTGGTTATTAAATGTTACATTCACAGCAGTCTTTTTACTTTTAAAAAGAATTCCCTAAGTGACTCGGCTTCTAAACCTTCTAAAAAGGTATCAGGGCATGATGACTGCACATCCATAATACCCTTTTCAACATCTGTTTTACTGAAAAAGTCACATATAAAGAGGGAATGTTTTAAAATGAGTTTTATCATCAACTTGTGAAAACATTGAAGGAAAAGCAAACATGATCAGAAGAGTGAAAGCAAAAAGGTTTATTGTCTTTATAATACTTGTATGATGCATAGAGACTATACAGCACATAAATATTGCCATAAATGTATAGAATTACATCAACAGCTATTAAAATATACATTTATGTCACTTCAGGTCTTCTACTTTCCTCCAACCTGGCTGGAGCTGCCTGAACTGACGGTGAAGTTGGTTGGTGTTGGCTTGTAGGCTGTTGGGAGAGGATGGTGATTTCCAGGCAGCCAAGAGGTAATGAGTAGAAGAGGAATGAAAACATACGTCAGAAAACTGTGTGCCTGTGCTTCGTGTCTCTATTGTGGAGGAAACTGGGGTTTTGTAACAAAGTCCCCAGTTCCTGGGCTATTACCAAAGGCCATCACCATCCGTACATAAAATGTGGTCCTATGCTTTTAACTGCAGACTCAGCTTCTGGCGTTAGCAGTTGTCTCTTCCTCTATAAAGCCAAAGAGATACTGATTGCTGCATTGTTTGACACTTACTCAACCCTAATGGCTGGCAGTCGCAGAACTGATGACTGTGGGGAGCCTGGCAAACCTGACAGCCTCTGGCAAGCCTATATTTTAATCTTGTATTCCTTCTGATTACTTTTTTACTATTTTGGCTTTTTTTTTTTCTTTCTGTGGGGCTCTGCTCATCCATACCAGTCGTTTGTCCTTTGTGCAGCTTGGTGCTCCTCAGTAACACGTGCTCATGTTCTTGTGCTGTCCTCATCTCTCGTTATCTGGTGGGACTGCTGCTCAGCTTCTGTAGGGCTTTCCACTGGAGGAATGCATCTTTTGACTGACTTGCTGTTTATTTGTCCAGTGTTTTCAGTAAGCACTGTGGTTTTACTGTGCAGTTTCATGCCCCACAGGTTTCTGCGCTGCCCTGTGTGTTATTTTGAAAAATTGAGTAGGAAGGAACAGTGCTTTGAGATTTCTTTCATGTCCATCGTTCTTGGACTGCTTACAGTGTTCCAGGAACAGACAGGGCTCATCATAAATGCTTTCTTATACAAATTACCCTAAAGCTTACAAGACTTTGGAAGTGTGCTGTAGAACAGAACAGCTACTTTTGCTTCCTAAAGTACATTTTTTAGACTGTGTGTTTGATATCTGACTTGTTTACCCATCCAGCAAGGATGGATGAACTGAGAGCATGGCAAGCCTTCCACACCACTCCATCACTTCCATTCCCCTGTGCTGTCAGCAGGACCAGCTACCTGGGGAGGATGGGCAGCACTCACAGCTTGATTTCCTTTATTTATTTTCTTTATTACATATTTAGTGAATGAATTGATTTGGTGCAGAATAATTGTATCAGTGGCAGGCTAAGCTGGTATAATATTGTATTTTGAGTCGCATTGTGCTTTGGTATATCCAAGACAACAAGCCTTTTTATGGGATTTTAACTGTAATGTAGCTGACACTTTGCATATTCATTTCCATGGCAGTTGGTCTTCTTCCTGGTGGGATAAATATACCCTCGCACTGGGAAAAGCACTGTGATAAATACAAATTATTTCTCATTTGAAAAGTAAACAGAAAACTACAACTATTGGTAACTGGTGCTTCGTTTTGAAGTGATTGACACAGGAATTTTGTTTGTCCAAGCAGTGCATTGAAGACTCGTTAGTTGAGAGAGTCCTATGGTTTTGTTAATTGTAACCTCTGAGAGATGACAGCAGATCATTAAGCACCAATCAGACTTGGGTCTAATATACAGAACCAGAAAAGATACTTGTCTCAGGAAAAAAGAAAAAGGGTTTCTGCATCAACATAGTGAGGTTTTTGGAACATCTTTTCAGCTAGCAGGGGAAAAACTCTGATTACATTGAGAACTGTGTGCTAGAAAGGCATTAAGTTGTTGCCTGTAATAGTGAGAAGTGGGGTGTGATGACCTTAAAGTTTTCTTTAAGTCCAGAATTGTTTAATTTTTAATATATATGTGTGTATGTATATATGTGTGTATATGTATATATCAACTTATAGTATCATGTGCAAAGATAAAGGATAAAGGGTGGTAGCAGCAAAGTTAACACAGTCATCTGATGTTTTCGTAATTGAGAAAGTAAGGAATACAATAATCTCAGATACTTCTTTAGCATTGTTATTGTATTAATATATTATGCAATCTTATACAATATTAATATTAGTATTATATCAATATATTAAAACTATTAATATTGTATTATATATTAAAACCTTAATGTTAATACTATTAATGTATATTACACTGTACGTAATACATGCATTATAAAGTGCATATAATATTTTATATGAATATTATATGGTTCTCTTGCCTAGAATTTTTATTACTCCAATCAAAAAAAAATTTGCCTATTTCCACTTCCTGATATGGATTTGATTAAAGTTTTAAGAATGAGAATGATTTCAGACTGAATTAAGAAGTGGAAGGTGCAAGGAGCATAGGTGTGACTGGCAGAGTTAATGGTGTTGTTGAGGGCCCCTGAAGCACACTGGAAGGATGATAATGAAAATGCAAGATAATCTGCTGCTTTATAGAATCACCAGGACTGGAAAAAAACCTCCATGATCATCCAGTCCAGCTATTCACCTATCACCAGTATTTCCCACTAAAGCATGTCCCATAATATAACAACTAAATGTTTCTTGAGCACCTCCAGGGTTGCTGCTTCAAGGCCACAGTTGGCCACAGATAGGAATGGAAGGAGGAGTGGTGGAATCTGGGGCTGAGGAGAAGCTCTGAGCTGTGATGTGGCCGAGTGGTGGGACAGGCAGCCTGGGGGGCTGTAGCCCAGCTCCATCCTTGGAGTTGATGCCCCTATGATTTGGTGATTGAGGCACTTTTAGCTATTCACTGAAGAAACAGCACAGAGTTTAAGACTTTACTCTTTGTGCTCAAAATAATGCTTGACTGGAGAGCTGTTGGAGACATTGGACAGCTGGTGAGAGCTGTTCCACATGCACACTCTTGACTATATTGAGGCAAATCAAAGAACTATCACGGAATCCCATCTGCTGGTTTTATTTTAGTGCCACTAACCTCCAGCAATAGGCAGTACAGAGAAGGAGGAACAAGCCTCTGGAGAACAAAAGCATCTCGAATATGTTTGCTATTTAAGTATGTGAAGGGTGTTTTAAGAATGTACCCAAGTAGAAAGAAACCTATTTTCAGAGCCACAGTTTATCTCTTTTGAGATAGAGATCTAACTCCAGGTCCTTAAGGTTTCGATAGTTTCCAGCTGACATCTGGAGGCATAAAGATAAGGGCCTTGCACCAGACCGGGAGATGAGAATTCAGTAGGAAGAAGGCTGGTATCTGGTGTAAATTTGGGTGTTGTAATGACATCACCTTTTGGAACCACTGGGTAGTTACGGCAGTGGGAGAGTCAAGAGCTGAGCATGGATCTCTTGGCACTTGTTTTTGTGCTCTTATCACTCATCTTTCTGTCCTTTGGAGTGAGGTGACCCTCCGAAGGATTTCGGAAAGCTATGAGCAGTACATCAAGCTTTTGAAATATGTTCACGGTGTTATTCCCTGTCTTTTCAATGTCAGGTATTTTCACATCCCTCATATGCTGCCATCAGGCAACCACTGGTACATTTTTACTCTTAAACTCATCAGAAGTTTACATGGTAGTGAATACATTTAAAATTTTCTGAGCAATGACAGCGATGTCCTGAGTTTGCAGCAGGTTGATTTCTTTTTTTTTTTTCCCCTGTGTTTTTGATGTTTCAGCCTAGCGGTACCTGAGTCCCTGAGATCACAAGGTTCTCCTTGGGAAGGAGGTCTGCAGGTCCTGTAGTTCCCACTGGCTGCAGGTAGAAGACACTGTCTTGTTGCTGAATGGGTAATTAATGATGGCTGTAAAGTAGGTGTTATCTACGCATTTTGCATTGTCCTCAGTGCAAAGAGTTTAGTCTCTTACGTTTGCATTAGAATCATAGAATGGCCTGGGTTGAAAAGGACCTCAAAGGTCATCTAGTTTCAATCCCCTGCTACAGGCAGGGTCACCAACCTCCAGCCTTGAATGTCCTGCAGTGGTACATTTCTGAATCCTCTGGATGAAGTAGGTCTTGCTGCTTATTGGACTCTTACTTGCCTGAAAAGACAATGGAAGTGATGTGGTTTCAGAAAACTAAAGAACAGTGAAAATGTCTGAAAAATGGTGATTTGTATGAAACCCTGCTAATATTATAGGAACAAACAGAATAACCTCTAAGACAGTGATGCCCTTCACTGCAGTGGTTCTGTAATTAGATCTCTCCTTTTTAGCTGTATTTCATTAATGGGAAAATAATAGTTCTTTAATAGGGAATGGGGGATAAGGGAATTTGTCATATTAGTAGCTGATAAAGGATTTGAGAGGGAGCCTAAAACTGGAGCTTTGATATTTTCTCTTACCTGTGGTCTTCTATGAAACAAGAGATAGGTAGAATTATCTTGTTTTGGTTTTGCATCAGAGACACAAAATGCATAAGTGAGCAAAATTGGACGTAGTTAGTAATGGCTCAATAAATATTAGCAAATGAGTGGCACAATTTAATCAGCACAGTTGCAGTTGATCAGGTGCTGAAAAGCTCTGATTGAGACTGCTGGGAGGCTAAATGAAAAGCTGAAGATTCAGAGATAAGGATTGATGGACATAATGTTATTATAATTGGGGATAGCAGAGAACGTAAAGCACTGAGAAATTAAATTGATGACCTGTAAAACAAGCTTAGATGAAGAAAAAATCAGATTGGTAGAAGCCTCTGAAGGAGTGCAGGCAGAGCACCGGGCAAGAGAAGACAGCCTGTTAGGTAAGCTTGTCCCTCTAGTGAACTAAAATTCAGTATTTCATATCCAACATGGTGTTAATGATCATCTTCAGATTTTTCAGGGAGATGTTTCTTCAGCTCAGATCATGAGCACGATTCTGATGCAGCAAAGCGTTCTGCTTTAGGAGTGAAGGATTTCCAAGGTATCAGGGCATTGAGTATTCCTTCAGAAAAGCATAGTAGATTCCTATTAACTTGATTTATCTTTGGGGGGGAAAACATATGTGTTCATCTTTTTGGCTTTTAGAATTCAAAAAGTCATTTGCAACTCTACCAGAAAAACAATTGGATATAAATTACCTGGGGTCATTCAAGACGAAATTTCACTTAGCTCTGTCTGACTGTGACACTGGGGAGGTGAAATGAGTTCCTTCTACTGAATTCTACACAGAAAAAGGCACTGTTCATTTTAAAGTAAAAACATTGTTTCTTTTCTTTTAGCTTAGCCTAGTATTAAATAATATCTTAATTTACTTTAAAATATTGAACTGTTTTATGTGGAATATTTTCCTGTGCCACACGCTCATTCTAACTCATAATGCAACACATTAAATAGAGGAAATAATATTTTTATGTCAAGGCAATCTTAATAGCAGGGCCATATTGATTGCATGGAAACGGAGAAATGGTGAATAGCTATTAAAGATGAAGAATAGTTGTGTTGTTATCAAATTGCATTAAATGTGCAGAGTGGGAAGGCAGCTTAGAAGGTCATAGGACACGAAGCTTTGGGAACAGGATGTCTAAATGTTGAGTTGACTCATCTAAAGCACCACCATGTATTTGATGATTTCCTTCATGCTATAGCAGAAAATAATGCTTAATGCTCTGTGTTGCCACATGTTCTTTATTGGCTCTCAGCTCTGCCTGTGTTTGCAGTTTGCAGGGTAGTCAATGTAGCCAATGGCTTTTTTCTGAATGAGGTGTCTGCATTGGTTTAGTTGATGTTATGCTTAGCACATCCTATACTTTTTCAGTTCTGTTAAACAGAAGGAAAATGCTCTTGCAATATCTGCATATACAAACAGCGGTGACATGCCAGTGTAAGGTACGTGTAAGCAAAGATATGTTGGATATTCTTGCTTTTCCTTTGTACGTCAACTTGAAGCAGTGAGACTTTACACAAAAAAAGGATGCCCTTTTCTCTTAGCATGTTGTATTCTTGTTGAGAAAACTCTTGCATTTTCTTAACCATATGGTTAATTACATAGGCAAAACACCAAATATAATTAAGAATGTGCTTCTGGAGAGAGAATACTTAATAACAAGCAGGCAGCTCAGCTATTGAATTCTCAGATTGTGTTTGCTTGAAGGAACTTCAACTGGAAGATTCCACAAGAAATGAGTACCTCAGTTAAAATACACAACATTGGTGAAAGCCAGAGCGAAGATGGTGAGAAGCCAACTAAGGTTGGCTGAAGGGTTTGTTGTAAATGAATGGCTCATAGAAGCCACATGCTGGCATTCCTGCAGAGCCATACAGTCTGCCACGGTGTATTGACCATTAAAGTTATTTGTAGTTCTTACAACTGCACCTTTTCAAACTAAAGGATGCTTTGTGTTTTTCAGACAAATTCTTTTGCAAATAGAATGGTATTCTGACCTCAGGTGCATTTAATTACCTATTTATTTTTTTCTTTTAAAGGGGGAGGAAAAAGAGAAGATGCTGGAAATGAACCAAATCTTTGTTGTGATAATGCCATTGGGAATTCTATTTCTGATCCAACGAAATTCAAGGAGCTCAAAACTTATGTCAACATGCTTTCTTTATTTTAATACTTCTCTCTGGAGGGAATCTGTTGAAAAGGGCAGATGCCTGCGATGCATGGGACAGCTTACATCTCTGTGCAGGGTGTGGTACACTTATCTGGAAGGATGGGCTGTGTTAGTGTTCCCAAGTTTGTAAAACTACAATTCAGAAAATGCCTCTGGGATAACTATGAATTCCTTTACTGATGCAAGGTAAGTTGTTGTGAAATTGAAGAGCACTGTTATTTGATTGGAAGTGATTCAAAGGTGATTAATACTGTATACTCAAATGATCAGAAGAAATCAAAATTGAAACTAAGCAGAAAGCCACATTTCTGTTTGGAAAAGCTCTTAGAATATACTGTGGAATTGGAAATAATCATGCTACTGTGATAATTGATAGCATTAAAAAAAAAATCTATGAATACTAAAACCAAGAGATTTGATGGGGAGGAAGAGGGTAAACATGCAATTTTCTTTTTGTTTGCTGTGTCTTTATTCATTTTTCTGTTGTGGTGTTTTGTACTTACTGTTCTATTGATTAGCATAATGGCAGCATTGTTGTGTGCTGCTTTAGGGACAGCACATTGTGTTCTCTGGAACAGGGACTGTCTGGATCAGGAATACTGTGTCTCCTGCTGGGCATGGAGGAGGCTGAAAAATGCCTACAGATGAGGAGACATTGGCACGTTCTGTTCAGCTCTTGCCCACATAGAGAAATGAATCACCTCAGAAACCTGAGGACTTGGAGGATGTTGTCATTCTTGAAGGTAACAGGAAAAATGGAAGACCTTTACTGAGCATGGAGATAGATGAATGGATTACAACAGGGCTTAAAGCCTGTGCTGTCAGTGCTAAAAACCAGTGCTAAAAACCAGTGCTATAGGTCCACACACTGAGCAGCCATCACAGAGCAGTAAATGTTGAATTGCACATGGGTTTATCTGTGGTGATTTGTTTGCTTGCACTGCCTGTGAGTTTTACATCTGCACGTCTCATCAGGAGGACACTAATTTAGTATGAAAAGATGGCAGCCAGATCCTGCTCACATCCTATGGGAAAATCTACACCTAACAAAGGAGACGTTTTGATAGCTTGACTGTGCTTTCTTTCTTTTTGGCTTTTAGTATTTTGTGCTTGAATATGTGTAAAGATAATTGCATATCTGCTACTTGCAAGGATTCCAGATTATACTGCTACTTTATATATTTCCTTCTCACTTTTACTCTTAGAAAATCACCTGGCAGTGGGTCAGGGCACGGTGGTTATTTTTACAGGATGTTTGGTTTTGTTTGTGTTTCAAACAGAAAACTGGGATTTCCCAAAAATCAGAACTCTCAAGTGTTGGCCACGTATAACACAAGACAGTAATTCCTTTAGAGATAATATGTACCTGTCATCAGTTTATTTTAGAAAGGCGTTAACAGTTAAAAGACAGGACAGATACTTTCTAGGTGGTGATCAGCCTTTAGTAGCTAATTTGCAGCATGTTTAAATGCCTCTACTTTTTTGGATTGCCCTTTCTTGGAGAAAGATCAAGTATTAAAGAAAGCAGGAGGCATTTTGGTCACTGATGCTTGGTTGCCCCTGGGCAGTTCTGCTGCAGGAGCAGAAGATGTCCCTTCCCACCCAACCCATGGCCAATGGATGGCCTTTGCCATCTCCTTCCAGCAGCAGAGGTGCTGGGCATGGTGTCTTCTGCTCTCCATTGACTCAGGAATGCAGCACAGGTATGGGACACAAGTCAGTGAGAACATCCAGGCATTTTAACCTGAACACCACACTACTGCTGGTACTGGGGCCACCTGGGGATGTTTTCTGTATCAGTCCTCTTCTGTCTTCCACATATGGAGAAAAAGTTTGTTGTTGTTTCTTTAATGGGGAAGAGATTCTCCAACATCGAACTTGTTTGCAGCATCCCCAGAGAAACCTGTGAGCTGTGCTGTGTGTTGGATTCACATGGGATGACTGATTGTGATTATAGGATGCATGCGTGGACATTTCCAATTCTGCACCTTTAGGACTGCACAGGAGTTTAAAACTCAGGTTTCAGGTTGGCTTTAAAGCTTTCACTCATTTAAGGGTTTTTTTTGTTTGTTTTTATTTTAAATCTTTGGTATGGTTCAGTAACAAGATCAACAAAAGCTGGTTTCCCCCCTACGCTGAAGTGTTGGAGGTATGTAATGTGTCAGTCTGTGTTGTAAAGCGGAAAACATTTTTGATATCAGACTGCTGGAATATCACTGTTCAACAGGCTTTTCTTAGAAATCAAATGATTTCCATTCAGCTCAAATG